AAGAAAAGGGTCCCCCTTCTCCCCTCCCCCACCCCCCGCCACAACACACACACACACACACCATCCTAATAGGAATGTAGTGGTATGTCATTGTGGTTTTAATTTGCATTTCCATATTAATGAATTTAGGAAGATTATTTTGAGAGCCATGCAAAGAAAAGAAAACCTGGTGCCAGGACATTAGAAGTATTTTTCAAAGGTTTCAATAAGTGATAATGAGCTTCTGGATCTGGGTAGCTGCAGTAGAGATAGTGAGAAAGGATTAAAGTGTGAAAAATAGAAACTGCAGGACTTGTGTTGACAGATCTGATATAGGGGGATAGGGGAGTCCAGGCAATTGAGTACTTGTATTTTAATAGGAGGATAGCTTTTATAAGTGGAGATTATTGGTTTTTATATAGTCATTTGTCTTTTTTTCCCTGACAAATCGTAATCTCCTGAGGACTGGAACTCTAACTTAAACATGTCTACCCTACATTGCTAAGCACTCACTACTTAGTTAGCCTTCAGTAAGTTAATGTCTTTTTTATTGGGAAGGGAGGGGCCAGGTATCTGTATTCTTTGATTATCCCACACTCTACTTTTTGCCTTTTTGTAAGAATAAAATCTTGTTCCATTGAAGGATTTTTGGAAATTATGCAACTAAATAAAATTATGTAATTGTGGTCAAAATATTCTTCAGCAGTTGAGAATCCTCAAAGTTGTGAAGTGCAAGCTGTAGGAGAAAAGTCATTTACCCCTGAATAAAACTGGATGAAAGCTCCAGTCAAGTGGGTTCTGCAAAAGTGAGAGTATTTGTTAGAAGTTAAGGAGTGTATAGAAGAGGCAATGGAGGTGGGGATCGACAATAAATCATTATCAGGGTCATGCTGATAGGAAGCATGGGATTAGAAGAAAACCTGATTGAAGGATTTTTATACTCAGTATCCTTAACTTCATGTTTGATTCACTTTGGAGGATTTAAGTGATCCTGTATTTAAAAGTAGTCTTAAGACACAATTATACATGAATCCTTAAAAATATCAGTGTTTCTGATTTGGAGTCTAGTTCTGATACTAAGCTGGAGAATGTACTTTTATTTAATTGAATGTGCATGATAAAAAATACTGTTGCTTACTAAATATTCTAATCATTTGTCTATATTTCATGTCATATTGACTTTAATAAATGCTATTTCCTTCACCTTGGAATTTTCTTGCTTGAATTACATCTGCTTTCTGCTGGCCCTCAGGGAATTTCTCTCTTGAGCATTTTGAATCAGATATAAACAAAATGCTCTCCTTGTGGTTCTTCAGTAGCATAATTGAGGTAGGCTAGAACATTTAAAAACTTTTGGGAATAGTAAAATGTAAAAATAGAAAAGTTAACAGAAAATACAAAGAACATAAATGTAGCCCAGCTTTTGAAATAGAGGATTTGTTGCCTGTCATAGTTGGCTTGCTGTCGACAGTCATAGATTCTGTTCTATTCTACCAGTAGTCTTCAGGCATCTGCCCCCTACTCTGAAATTACTAGCTCCATTCTGCTGGTATTTTTCCTGGGTTTGTGTTTCCGTGGCATTGACCTGGTCTCATACCAGGCCTTTAGATTGACTACCCACCTCCTATATTTTTTTATATATTCATAGTCAAAACCAGCACAGTCAATATTCCAGCTTTTGGGACATTTCTAGGTTTGATTTCAGAGTGGAGTCACTAAAAACCTGAGCATTTCTATAGAATAGTTTTCAGTCATGATGTTTCCCCATAATAGGCCACAACAGAAACTCAGATTATTTTCATGTCTTTGGTCAAAAGATGATAAATTTTGCAGGATGGTAACTTTTAAACATTATTGAATCATCAAAGAACTAGCGTGGATTTAAGGTCTTTCCTGCACTTGTCTTCCTTATTGAGAACAGAGACTATGTCATGTCATGGTCTCCAATGGGGAAGCCAAGAAAAAAATGTTTAACGAGCAAACTTACTTTTAGTTGACTATTGGAATAGAATGATTCATATTGAGGCTTTGTTTTATTGTAAAAATTAGTGTGTACCCTTTTTTTTTGGTGTTTGACTTCCTAGTTATAAGCTTGGTTATTCATTCCACTTTCTTGACAGAGATTGGGATGAATGTGAATAATTAATTGCTAAGACTTAGTACTGGTATACCTCGGTAAAAACATTCACTTTTATGTTTTTACTCTTCTAATTTATTAAAAAATACAGAGA